CAGCAGTGCTCTGGTGGCGAGGTTAATAGAGCGTTGGGTTTGCAGATACTAGAACAGTTAAATCTCAAAAATCCTAGAGAAGTCAGAAAGCAGAAGACCGTTCAGATATAATCATATAAGTCAGCAAGATGACTCTAGAACGTCAAATTAAGTTTGGAACAGGTAAAATCGAATAAGTTAAATAATTTTGGTTGGCTATTCGGTGTTGCTAAATTGCTCCCATCAACTTTTCATACCGTTTGTGCTTTTTACTTATATCACAGCGTCATCCCTTAACAGTACATCGGGTTTTATTTAAAATTTCTGTCCAGCTCTTCTTTGCAGAATTGTGGTATCGTGCTCCATTTTCGTGTATAATGTAAGCTTACCGTCTATCGTCAATTTATTAACCACCATCCCCATAAACAACCTAAACCACAAACTTAACCTCATCCCATCTATATTACCTACCCTTACCCACCCCCCCCCCTTATCCACTTACCCAAACACACCCAACACCCCAAAACCACACAACCCCCCCCCACCACACCCCCACCAACCACAACCAAAAAACCAACACATAAAACCTACCCTCCCCAACCACCATCACCCCTAACCAAACCACCACCCCACAATCAAAACACCCATCCACCATCCCCCATCACGAAACCCTCAACCCCTCTCCACATCAACCCCAAACCTACCACCACAATCACCCCCCCCCAACCCCACCAACACCCCCCCCCTCACTCCCCAAAACACCAACCCCACAACCCTCTTCCTCAAACCCAGGAAACACAGAAAGATGATCCCCTCCCTCTCGCAAATCTACCTTCACCCACTCACGAACACTATCCTCTACCAAACCCACAACCTAACACCCACCATGATGTGTACACATACCTCCACACACTCACTAGCTCACACTCACTCAAACTCACAATCACTCATCCCTTCATCATTATTCTTCACTCTCCTCCTAATACTATCATACTTACCAACCCAATAATACACCCCCCCACCCCAATTCATATAGTTATCCTATCCCTCCCACAACAGCACCCTAGTATAGAGACCACACCTTATATGATATAGATAGATAGAACAGCCCTATACACTGCCATGTCTACCAATACAAATTTTCCAATAAGTGTCTCTCATTTTTTAAGTCTTCTAAATGACTGCTCACGAGCATATCATCAGATACATCTTCCAGCCACACTCTCTCCGCACCGCTAGACCACGGCCTAGCGTGTGCACACCAACCGTGTGTCGGTATGTCCCCCCCCCCCCCACCCCCCCCCCCCCCCCCCCCCCCCCTTTCCCCCCACTGCCACCCCCACTTGATACGCATTCCTATAGTAAAGATCAATCTATGTATCGCACAGTGGATTGTTGATATATGTGGATGGAAAATGCACTCTAGAGAAATTTGATCCATTTTCTTTGTCACATCACCTGCTATTTCGAGTCATACACATTGTAGGAGGGCTCATGGGAAATGGAATAGCAGCACAAATATTTAGTATCGTAAAAGTGGAGGGTGGAAACAAAGTGAAATAACGAGTATGTGGACGAACCGAATGTAGCTTTCTCTATGAAAAGTGTGACAGAAAGCCGGTCACCACTTAACTATAACATACACTACACATTGGAAAATTGAGCCTCAAGTAAGAGTAGCCAGAATACAGCATACAGACGCAAGCTTGGCGGAATTGTCGTACCGTGTCAACTCCTCACTTAACAAGCAGAATCCAACGCCCGTTTCTGCTGAGCCAAAATTTAGACTCACATCTTGGACGACAATGAGGCGGGCTTCTAGGATCAAACCTAGGCGACTGGGTTCGCCAAAGTCAACTATTAGTTAGGTGTCGCAGTTGGTTGATGGAGTTATTTGGCATTTTAGTCTGTCTCGGCGGCGTGCTTAGCGCCACTTTTCGAGCCCTCGTAAATTATGTTTCTTACTTTGACGTCAGTTATAGGAGTAGAGATAGTAACGAAATAATTAAAAGAGTCGGTTAGGTCGTAACTAAGCTTTCGAATATGGGGTAATAAATCAGTGACTGCTAAGATAAACGTGGTACTTCGCTGCAGTAGTGAAGTGTGTGACGCAATGAGTCGAAAATGCTACTGTGTCCGTAAACGCTAGTAATAAGTTGGGCAAATCAGACGGAAAGGTATTCTCAGGGAAATACTGGTAGGCTCTGCTTAGCGAATTATTTATTTAAGGTAGAACAGCACAGGATATTGGTGTAGCTACGCCCACAGCCAGTGAATTGCGTGAGCGTGTGCTCTCGATTATTTCTAGAGTTTATTGCGCCACTCAGAGATCGCACTTATGATATCGTGGTAAATTCAACGTTTCTTATATGCATCCGGTAGTGGTGCTGTTGCAAAAAGTATACCTGAAAGGTGCCTGCATGAGCTGCTGTCTCTGTATGGATATGACAGCGACCATAAGAGACTGCATTTGGCCCGCGTCTCGAACTAGGATAACGCTCTAGTCTTATTTCCTACAGAAATATTCTCCAGTTCGACTCTTTGAGGCTTATTTTTACGTCGTTATGGTTGTAATCCCAATTGGCTCTATAATAAGCCTAGGGTGGCTTCTAGTGATAGATATAGCAGGTAGCGAATGTGAGAATCTTCTCAAAAAATGTGTCCAGGGGAAATCCTCCATTCCCCCCCCCCTCTGCCTTCCATTTTGTTTATATCCCTCCGCCATTTTCTTATGTTTTTTAACTTGTGTTCGCTTGTTAGACACGAATGTACCACTTCTTTAGGGGTTGCTGCTGTGTTCAAGCATGACTGATTAGTGGTGCCAAGGTGCTCAAGCATGCACGACTGTGCATTAAGTTGCTAGTGTAGGCTTCTTTCTGTGTGTGTGAGTTTCTATGGAGGAACCGCGTAAAGGAGTATCCTAAGTCAGGTCTGTGTGTTTACTCTTCAACTTATAAAGTATCGATGCACCTAGCCGGTCGGACGGGCTGTGTAATCCCGAAGTATGCGAAATTGTAGTGTCTGTCGCGTCCGATCTGTGAGTCAATTCAGGCAGCCGATGCGACAACCCTACAAGTATGTGTCCCAACAGGTCAACACGAAAGAACCTACGGACGTCGAGCTCGTACCAAGTGTGTGTCTCTACAGTTAATGTAATACCAGCGTAACAAACAACTGCTCGCGAAATGAGTAATCGATCGGAAATGCAAAAATAAGAAGCAGAAATTATGTTACTCAATCGTTTACGAGTACTCCCCTAGAGCGTGCACTAAGTGTAAACGTCGACACTGAGCACTACGGACACGTATTGTTTTTTTTGTTTTTTTTTACGATCCCCAGCTACAGTGGACCATGATACACACCTCGTCCAGCCCCGGTGTATTGGAGCTCGCCGTGTTTCAGTCGATATGGTGTCACGGAGGACTCAATGAATACTCTCGTCCATGTGTCGTTGTGTAGTGTTGGTTGTAAGAGTCCTGTCGTGGGGGGTTTAATGCTGAGGGAGAAGGAATATCGGGGTTATACTCTCACCATGGTATGTTTCTGACGATCTGTTTGCGTCGGTCGCTGACCTCACAGGATTTCTTTGATCCATGTCTTGATTCACCACAATGTACTTAGGGTTTTTCGTGACAAGACTGGTATCCGCCGTCGTATGGCGAGCGTTCACCGAGTTTCGGACGGTTTCGCAGTTCGAGCGTATGAAAGACACCAACTCGGACATTGTTCCACTCTTATTCATTTTTTACTTCTATTTAGCTCTTCTTTATCCTTTGTTCTTTATTATCGTACAAATTTTATATACTTCTTATCATCATACTGAAAATTTTTTCTGACTCTTGTGATAGCAGTCTCATTACTCATCTCCCCTCGTAAATTCTTATTTATTACTACCCTGAACCCTATTTCTTCATTTCAGTCCCCAAATTCTCTTTAATATCTATCTAATTTCACCCATTATTAACTATGAGTATTTCCTCCAACTATACCGTCAGTTATACCTTACTCTAACTTCCGCTGTTCTTTCATCCTATATATACATTTGTACCTTTAAAATCTTCTCTACTATGTCCATATGCATCTGTCTATATTTCCTCGTTGTAATGTTCTATTTGTGTACTTCCTAATCTATGACGACTCCTAGAACGCGGTCACGCAGTGTGTCATCTAACATCTCCCATCTTCGTTTGTATTGTATTGTGCTGAAACACTCAAAACGAGACATCTCACGCAAACAACACCAACATATCCCATCCCTTTAATTCCCTTCTAAACTTACTCTTTCTCACCAATAACTCTTCAACTCTTTATTCCTACTTATCACCCCCTTACCCATATAACTCCACATCTCTATATCCCTAATTCCCCCGTGTCTTACCTTTTCCCACTACTCTAACTCACTTACCTATAACACCCTCTTATCTAAATCTATCACCCCCAACACATTTTATATATCATATACCACAAAAACTCATCCCCTTCTATCTCAAACCACTAATAGTTCCCACCTTCCAACAAATACTCATCCATAACAGAATCCCCTCCAAGTTTCTCCCTACTACCTCAAAAAAAACCATAGAAACCCCCATTATTCAAACACAAATAAATCCCCCTATCCATCACCCCCTCCACCCATTCAAATACCCCCCCCCGATCCCCCCCCCCCTCCCCCCCCACCCCCCCCCCCCCCCCACCCCCCCTCCCCCCCCCACCCCACCCCCCCACCCCCCCCCCACCCCCATATTTCCCCCCCCCCACCCCCCCATCCCCCCCCCCCCACCCCCCCCCCCCAACCCAAAACCCCCCCACCACACCCTCCCCCCCCCCCTCACAACCCCCCCCCAACCCACCATATAAATTCAAACCCCACCCCCCCCCCCCCCACCCCCCCACCCGCACCCCCCCCCCCCCCCCCCCCCCCCCCCCCCCCCCCCCCTTATCTATAAAACCCCCCCCCCCACCCCTGCCCCCCCCCCCCCCACGCACACAACAAATATATTATATAATATTATTCCCCTTTTATTTATACCCACTATCCTTTTTTTTTTTTTTTTTTTGTGGGAACAAAGGGTCTAGGCCTACCGGTTGAAAGATCACAGTAAACTCTTATGTCAGAGTTAAGTACGGGCAGTTGGGTGACTTTCAATGAGGAGTTTGAACGAAGTTGAACAAGCTCAGGATCATCGTTTTGGGCGGCCGCTATTCTCTCCAAGTCGATGGGTGTCGATGACAGTTGATTCATATGAGCGCGGGACAATGCATCGGCAACAACGTTGTTAGGACCGTCGATATAACGAACATCAACACAAAACTGTGAAAGATAGTCCAGATGACGCGTTTCTCGGGGTGAGTAACGGTCTGAGGAAGAACGGAAGGCATACACCAGTGGCTTGTGATCTGTCAAGAGAATGAAACGACGTCCTTCTAAAAGGTGACGGAAATGTTTCACAGCCAAGTACATGGCGAGCAGTTCACGACCAAAGGTGCTGTACCTGACCTGAGCAGGTTGAAGCTTCCGTGAGAAAAAAGACAGTGGTTGAAATTCGTTATCAACTAACTGTTGCAAAACTGCACCGACAGCAGAACTTGAAGCATCCGTCTTAAGGACAAGTGTAGCGTCCTCAGTGGTGTTCAAGTGATGGAGAGAGGTGACCTCACTGAACTTCTGCTTAACGGCCGTGAAAGCGGCTTCAACTTCTGGGGTTATCGTAAACGTCTTTGAGTTTCCTTTCAGTAAGTCGGTAAGCGGGTGAAGTAAACTGCACATTTGGGAATGAACCTGCCGTAGTGGTTGAGCATACCGAGTAATCGGCGTGCTTCTTGGACAGATTTTGCATCGGGTAATCGAGGATGCTTGAGATTTATCCGCAAGAGGTTTAATACCTTTAATATCGATCAAGTGACCGAAAGATTCGACGGTGGGCTGATCAAATTTGGCCCGGTTGATGGTTATGCCGCGGTTTTCAAAGCGTTCGAAAACCATTCGGAAGTGTGATAAATGCTCCTCGGGTGTGGCGCTTGCGATCAAGACATCGTCAATGTAAACGTAGACGAAATCAAGGCCACGGAGGACCTGATCCATAAAGCGTTGGAAAGACTGTGCTGCGTTCCGGAGGCCGAAAGGCATACGAAGAAATTCGTAAAGGCCGAATGGAGTGATCACGGCAGTTTTTGCGATGTCTTCCTCCGCCATTGGAATTTGATGGTAAGCTCTGACAAGATCGAGTTTGGTAAAGATTGACTTTCCAGCTAGTCTCAAGGGAGAAATCGTGGGATATGTGGGATAGGATACCCTATCCGGAACAGTGACGTTGTTTAAGAGCACGGTAGTCACCGCATGGTCGCCAATCGCCT